TGTGTGTGTGTGTGTGTGTGTGTGTGTGTGTGTGTGTGTGTGTGTGTATATAAGAATAGACTAGTTTTGCCTCTGAGTGAATTCAGTTTCACCCTTTGCATGAGTAGAAGTAATTGGCCCCTCTGACTACATTTCTAGAATGAACCCTGCCTAAAAGTTGTCTTAAAAAAAAATCACTCAAAATAAATATTTAGTGTTTGATATGGATTCATGAAAGATGTGACTAGTTTATGCCCTGTAGCAGAAAAAGCAAAACTTAACAATGGATTTAGACTCTCCTAGACATGGTTTCTCAACCTCTGGGTCAGGACCCAAAATTGGGTCACAGAATGTTTCAAAGGGCTGTGTGGTAGTTTCTAGTGCCACTTTAGCTTTCGTTGTCATGATGATGGGAGCCTGGGTAGGTCCCATGAGCTAGGTCACAATTCCATTCTCACAAATTTGGTCCAGTCATGGGGGTAAGGCCAAACCTCAGTGGCGCTGCAACCCCAGAAGTTGCAGTGGCTGCAATGGGGAGCCAAGCCCAGCCAGCCCCACAGCACAGGAGTACAACTGTGAGGTAAGTGCTAGGCAGGACCCACTCCCTCACCCTGGGGGGGTCAGGAGTTGACCGAAACCACTCCAGGGTTTCCACCTCAAGACTATTTACTGGGTTGCAACAGGCCATAAACATTTACTAATGGGTCCTGAGCCCCAGAAGGTTGAGAACCACTGTCTTAGGTTTTTATTGCCAAAAATTAAGACACTTTTGTAATAAATGCCTTACTTTGGCACCCTCTGCTGGCAAATCCATTGAGACAGCCACTGGAATGCAAAGGTGAAATGGAGACATTATTAGAAAAAGATGCTTAAGTAGCAACTGTAATCTTGGAGGAATTCCTACAAGTGGATGTATGTGTGGGCTGGTACTTCTAAAAGTAGGCACTATTTAGAGACTGTACTTTTTGGGCGGAGGGGTGGGGAGATAAATTGAGAATCCTCAACTAATTTGTAGTTATGCTGAAATGGGCATGAGGCAGTTAGACCAGGATTTTGACTAACACTATTTCATTTTCCTCTTACAACAAAGTGAGAAATTACTTACTTTTAAGCTTATGGCTCAGATTCATTTCTAGAAAATTCAGGTATACATCAAACTTCAAAAGGGGTATGGGTATGTAATAATTAGGAAGATGCCCAAATGTGACTGTCTGATGGAAGGTTAACTGAATTTCCATATTTTTGTGAATATAAAATGCAATATTAATCTTTGCAAATGTAACTTTTTTTTAAAGATATTTTTATTTAAACTGCAACATCTGAGTCTGTCCAATAACCACATGCCTATTTGATGCACACAATCTTTTGGTAATGTTCTACTGAGTATGGAGTATTTGTAAAGGACCAGTGGCAGATTCTCAGCTGGTATAAATTGTCCTAGATCTATTGATTTCAATATTGCTGGGACAACTTATACTAGCTGAGGAGCCCTCTGTGTTAACCTCATTCATTGTTCATCAGTAAGGATAAGATTTATGTCACGGATTCCACTTCCACCCTGGGGCGGTGGGGCTGGAGTTCGTGGGGTGCAGAGTTCTCAGCTGCTGCATGTGCTGGACTCCTCATTGCAGCAGGGCTCTGGCTTCAGTCCTCCCCTGTCAGCCCTCCTCCCCCCATTATTTTTAGTAAAAGTCACAGAGAGGTCACGGGCTTCTGTGAATTTTTATTTATCGCCCGCGAGCTGTCTGTGACTTTTACTTAAAATAACCGTGACAAAGTCTTAATCTTATTCATTAGCATAGGAATCTATGCAGTACTGGACTACACAAGGCTGCATACTAGAGCTTCAACCATCAGTTTCTCACTAAACGTTCATTTTGAAAATATCAAAAGGTATTACTGCAAACAGAACAAAAGACCTCTATAATTTTATGATGTCAAAATCATTCTTCTTTTTCCTACCCCATTTCATTAGCAAAATAATCATAAAAATCTGAGAGGTATTATCTTCTGTATTTAGAATGATTAAACTCTTTCTTATTTGAACTGGGGAAGTGCAGGATAGAATTATTTTCTGGAATAAGAAACTGTGCGAAGTGTCATCCAAGAGGCGTTTTTTAGCAGAGTTACACTTGAAAACAGTAGTTTTTGAAATGTCAATGCTCACTCAATCACAGTTCTGCCAAACTACAAAATTGAAATTTTGCAAGAAGGAATTCGTAGTTTTAACAGTGATTAGCCCTTATACAAACCATTACAAGAATATTAGTTTTTAAAAATATATTTTAAAATGGCAGTGACTAAGGTAACCTATATATACGTTACATAAAACAAACTGCTACATTTTAAAAAAAGATTGTAAAGTCAAGCACTGAAAAGTTAGGAAATGCCAGAATTAAGATTGTTTTTGCAACCTTAATTAAGTCGCTGTGTGTGTATGCATCATGATACAATGGTTAATTGGCATGGAAAATTTCAGCCCAAAAGGTTAAAGTTGGCAAAGTTTTATGCAACTGAAAACAGGGTCTCATAACGAGAAGTATATCTTAATTATGTGTGGGACTACCAGCTCTGCCTATAATTCCCTTATCCTTTGGGTTCATACATTCAGATAACATAACATCAGCAACTTTACATGTTTTACAAATAGCCTTAACTCTGATCCACAAGAACTATTCTTACATTTTTCTCTCTCTCTCTAATTAGATTTTTATGGGAAATGACATGACTGCCTGTTTTTCCTTACCTTAGAATCTGAGCATGCTGTTTGTCATAGGGATCTGTAAAGGATGTAATTATGTGCTTTTATTACACAGGCAGAATTTTAGTGAATTTAAATTAATAGAGTGGAGTTCTCTGTCATTGGTAGATGGGCAAGAGCAATGCTGTCCAGTAGACATGAGATTACTTCTTGTGATAACCAGATGCTCTATCACTTACTTGTCTCATCTTTCCCTCTTGGTACATGCGAAGCTGCCAGATTCTCTTAAGTAGTCGTTACAGAAACCTCATCTGTCCAATTTAAATTTGACATTTAAAACTTTTTGAGCATAGTCTGCTTTAAATAGGGTGACCAGACAGCAAGTATGAAAAATCGGGACAGGGCATGGGGGGTAATAGGAGCCTATATAAGAAAAAGACCCCAAAATCAGGACTGTCCCTATAAAATCGGGACATCTGGTCACCCTAGCTTTAAAGGCTGAATACTGTGCTTAAGGCTGTCAAAGGAGGTTATGGAGTTTCCTTTGCTAGAAATATTCAAGGCAATAAAAAGGCATTCCCACATATTTCCAGTTAGGTGTTAAGCTTCCCTTTCCCCTCTGCCAGGCAATATTTAGTCCTGAATCTTTGCAAAGAATATGTGAGTACAGAGTACTGTAAGAAACATATGGTGTATTTTGTGTTGTGTTGTTTTTTTTTATGAGATTTTGATCTCTTCTCTAATTTCACATGAATGTTAAGCAAAATACCATACTTTGTTATACCATCGCATATAATAATTCTGAATCTTGGACTGACAGGGTTTATGTAAAACAAAAATAAATAATGGTAAATTCCATTCGACTCACCTAAACCAATATCCTCCTCTTCCTTTATATGTGTGGCACCTAGTTCTTCTAAAAGATTGCTTACAGACTTGTCTTCTTTGAATTTGTCAGGGAGCACTATAAATGTATAATGCACACTGAATTAATAAAAAGCATAGATGTCACTACATAAGGTGCTGGCATTCTCTTCTACTTAAAGGATTTGTAGGCCTTTATGTTGTCCAATTAATGTTTCAGAATATCTCTCCAGTGGTTTTTTAGATATGAATTGGCTTACTAAATTAAGGATTTTATGTAAAATAGGAACTTTTATTTACCTGTGTCAGAAACTTTCTCTATATGTGTGACCTGTAGCTCTTCTGACATATTACTGACAGAGTCCTCTTCACCTGTGTCTCCAGGTATTCCTGGGTAAATAATATATTTTGCAATAATTCTGTAGTTATGGAAGTTTTACTTTGCCTTTTTACAGGTTATTTAATTTGTTAAAAATCAAAATTAAAAAGGGCCTAAAACAGGCCTTGACAAATACTTACAACAACAAAATTCTGTGAATTACAGATCCAGCAATTTCACGCAATATTGCTAGCCAACAATGACCAAAGAGAAAATAAACGCCGATCCAACCACCATTCTATTCACAAACGTCACAATTCTTCCTCTTTTACAAAGCTTGGAAGACTAGACAAGTATTGCAATTTGTCCTAAAGGTCGACAGATTTAGACTGTTTTGGACCAAAGGAGGAAGTGAGTTCAAAAGTTGAGGGGTGGCATTGTTAACTAGATCAGTGGCTCTCAACCTTTCCAGACTACTGTACCCCTTTCAGGAGTCTGATTTGCCTTGTGTACCCCAGAGTTTCACCTCAATTAAAAACCACTTGCTTACAAAATCAGACATAAAAATACAAAATTGTCACAGCACACTACTACTGAAAAATTGCTTACTTTCTCATTTTTGCCATATAATCAATTGGAATATAAATATTGCACTTACATTTCAATGTATGGTATATAGATCAGTATAAACAAGTTGTCATCTGTATGGAAAATTTTAGTTTGTACTGCCTTTTATGTAGCCTGTTGTAAAACTAGGCAGATATCTAAATGAGTTCATATACCCCCTGGAATACCTCTATGTAATCCCAGGGGTATGTGTACCTCCGGTTGAGAACCTCTGAAATAGATCATGGACCGGTCTTAGTCTTTCAGGGTATGTCTACACTTCAATTAAAAACCCATTGATGGCCGATGCCAGCTGACTTGAGGTTGGGCGGCAGGGCTGTTTAACTGCAGTGTAAACGTTCCCCAGGCCCTAGCCTGAGTCTGAATATCTACACTGTAATTAAACAGCCCCACAAGCCTGAGTCAGTTGGCACGGGTTAGCCATGGGTGTTTAATTGCAGTGTAGATATACCCCCACTCTTTGCCTGCTTGCTTCCTTCACATGTGATATTTGCCTTCTGTGTTACTTCTTTCAAGTCATCCTTTCATTGGTGCAAGTGATCCTGGTGTGTGTGTGTGTGTGGGTGTGTTTGTGTAACTCCTAACTTCTCTACCACTTTTCAAATATCCTTTTGAAAACACTCTTTTCTCCCTTGCCTTTATGCATCTTAGTTTCTCAATCCCTTTATATAACAGGAGATAATTAGCTAGTGTGAAAAGTTACCATATGTAGTAAGATAATGTTTTATAAGTAGACAAACTGCCATGCTTCTATTCAGCATTTATTTTTTAAACGTTTAAATGCTGTGTATTTTTTTTTTAAATGTCACATTAGTGCTGGGAAACTAATAATTGTAAATAATGTTTTTATAGCAAAGTTCTTACCTAAGGAGTCTTTTTCTGTTTTAGCTTCTATCCATTCTGTAGGCCTTTCACCTTCTTCATTATCTGATTTGCTTGATTGCTCTCCAGTGTTGTGTCCCAGAATGGCATCCAGTTCATTAAAAAATTTCATACTTTTACTTGTATTCCCTGAGTCTTGGGCATTTTTTACGCTTTTGTATTCATGTTTTAAGTTTTTATACTTTGTTCTGCACTGCTTCCAGTCCCTTTCAATTCCAAATTTTTGAAGCCTAGCAGCAACTTGTTCAAATATTCTTTTATTTCTCACTGTCACTTCAAGTTGTTGCTGGATGTTTTTGTCTGACCATATATGTATTAGAGCTCTGACTTCATTGACAGTCCAGTGTTTTCCTCCTTCGTTTGCTACCGTTGGAATAAAAGGTGGATTTTTGGACGTCTCTAATATTGATGTTGGGTTACCTACATCAGGTGGGGTGGGGGAGAGACACAGGTATGAGTTACCTGCATGAGGTGGGGTGGGGTAGGGTAGAGGAGGGCAGAGAGAATGAGAGTGAAGGAAAATATTTTATTCATTTTTTTTCTTCACTTTTTTTACTTCACAACATTAGAGCAAATATAGAAATAAAATCAAGGTATCAAACAAAGCTGTTAATGATAAAACTGTATCTTCTGTCTTGTAAAGACAGTGCATTTTGGTTTAATTATATTACTAACTAGAGAGAAGGATTTTTTTTTTTTTTTTGCTGCTCTCCACCTCCAAAAAAATTAACTTAAGTAAAATACTTTCAGAGCTGACATATTTGCTGTTACTAGTACTTTATGGTGTCGTGCTTTACATTTTCATCATGATCTGAAAGGGCCGTAAAAACACTAATAAACTAGGCCCCATTCTCACTAACATTTATACATCTGCTTATCTTTATGCACACATGTAATTCCTTTGGGTTTGCACAGGTGCACAAAGTTAAGTGTATGTAAGGATTAGTAGAATCAGAGGCTTAATTTTTGCAAAACAACCCTGTTGGGGGAAACCGAGGCACGCATTATTTGCCTAAAATCACAAGAACTCAATGGGAGAGGTAGGACTAGAAGTCAATTGTTATAACTTGAAGCTTTGCATTTTCTCAATACAGTACAATGTAAAAGACTGACCAAATCAGAGAACTTACTGTGTATATTAGTAAAAATATTTTTATTTTAGAAGTGGTTTAATTTATTTCCTTTTCACTTGAAATTTTTCAAATTGTACTTTTTGCTAGCAACCACTAGTTTTAAATTTTTGGGGAAATTGGGGAAAGAATGCCACAATTTCCTAGTGTGCTGAAATATGTTCTCTTAATAAATATTTTTTTAAATTGTTTTATTTTAGACAGTAGTAGTAAATTCAATTAGGACTTCAGTTTTCTGATCAAATCAGTTTACAAAACTATTTTATTTTGTACTCATTTAAAACAATGAAATAGGATTAGGTCTTTCTAATAAATGTTTTCGTAGATTTAGAAAATTCATTATTTTCCTTTTTTGTTTTCTTAGTGATTTCCCAGAGAAGTGCAAGCATGGAAGTGCAGAATAATTGGCATAAATTTTGCAATCAGTGTGCTGATGTGACTTTTTTTTTTGCCTTCACAACCATCCCTTTCCAAATGGCAAACTATGCTGTGGTGGTTAGATACTTCAGTCATTAAGTTCTGTATGGTGGCAAAAATGACCTTTGCTAGCACAGTCTGATTCAGTGAAGCATACTTACATGAATAAACCTATTTGGTGATAAACTTGGTCTAGAGGGAATAGTCATTGTGCATGAGTCTCTATAAGCCATTCTACTCATAAGGAAGCTTTACTAATAGATAGCATTTCCCCCCTTTTTTATTTTAATTATTAAGTCCCAAGTCAGAGTCTAGGAACCTCTGCAACTGCTGGCCCATTGATACACTACAGGTGGGGAGGCTACTCCCTGGTGACTTACCAACTAGTCTTTCTATATTTGCCTTAAAGGTGCATAGGATTGTTTCTTCTGCAGTTGAGTTGAGCACTACAGGAATAATCACACTGGATCACAGTGAACACCAAAGAAGCTTGAAGTGGTTGCAGCTCAGAATTATTGGGGTTGTCTTGGCAGCTGATCTGCTTTCTGTTTGTATTTTTAGATATTTTTAAGTGGCTATCATTTTGCTATCTAAGAGCCAACCATTGAGGCTAGAGAGAGAAAGGAAGAAAAGGGCCCAAGGTGCAGAATGGGGAAGGTCCTCCATTAACTTTTCACATTCCACAATTCACGACTAAGGAGCAGGTCATAGTTTGGTAGGGGTGAGGATTGGTTAGCTTTTGCATCTGGCCAACATTTCTATGGGTAAATCAGACTGCATATGAGCTAAACTTCAAGATTTGCATGACTTGAAATTGTTCTGGATTGGGTCTCAGTGGGTAGGTGGATTGAACATTACTCCAGAATTTTTCATTTAAAAAATGTTGAAATGGGATGCTTTGACAAGTCTGAAACCTTTTTCAAAACTTTTCAAATAAAAAGATTTTTTTTGTCAAAACTGACCCTTTCTCACAAGAAGTTATGGTTTTGAAAAATTAGCATTTTTTTAATGGAAAAATTCAAAAATTCCCAATCAGCTCTAAAAATAATCTTGTCAAGGGGATAGTTTTGGTAGTACAGTAATTCACAAAGCATACACTGTGATTTGGGCCTAAGCCTTATGCACTGATAAATGAAAAAGACTAAATACCTCACAGTTTTCAAAGCTTTGCCTAAACTTTCTCACAATAGTACCCTTCCACTCTACTGTATGCAGGAATTTAAAAACAAATCCAGAGAATGAAGAGTGAAGTCATTGTTTTTCCTTTTGGGAGGTGCCCAGGTTCTGCAATGATGGGCACCAATAAAAGATAGGGCTTATACCTACTCTGCTATTGCATGGAGGTGCAAATAGTAGCAGTATGCCCTCCTGAGGGTAATGCTAGGTTTACAATGGTGTCATTGCGCCAGGCCCACACTCAGAAGGGCCCCACTATGGTTGCCAGGCAAGAGCATTGGAAGCTCCCTAGAAGTGGGTGAGTGGGGGGCACCAGTGCCTGGACCAAGGCCCACCCTCTGCTCTGCCCTTCCCTTTGTGGTCCTACCCCCACTCAGCCTCTTCCCGGGAGGCCCTGCCTGGCGTTTGCTCCTCTCTTCCTTCTCTCTTCCCCCCAAATCGCTCACCATTAAGGCAGGAAAACAATTAAGGGGCCATGAACACCTCTCCCCCCTGTTCCGGCACTCCTGTTGCCAGGAGTCTGGTTTTCGCCCAGAAAGTCCGGTCAAAAAGTGGACCTCGCAGTTGACCAGACACTAAAAGTCCAGTTACAGAAGCAACCACAATCAGCCTGCCCACTAGAAGGGTGAGAAGAGTAGCTGCTGCTTCCTGGAGGAGCTGTAGCTCAGCTGGAGAGAGGACCAGCTCGCAGGGACCTGGGCCTGGCAGAGTGAGGTAGGTACCAGCTCTGTGCTGCCCTGGGGTGGGTTCCTGTATGCCTCCTCCCCTACCCACACCATGCTGTGCTTGTCTCCGGCCCCTGCCTCGCTCCAGGGACCACCTTCTACTCCTGCCCTGCCCAGCTGTGCCTGGCCCCGCCTTACTCCGTGGACTGACGCCCTACCCTATCTCTTACAATTTTCCCCATGGGGTTCCACAAATATGTTTGGCACCAGGCCCACAAAAGGTTAATCTGGCCCTGCCTGAGGGTCACGATGCCCATGAGGGAATTCTGCCCTGAGAAGGATGACTGTATGCTACTGGGGAGTCCTCTTTAGTTTCCAGCAAGGGCTTCATGGGAACCTCGCAGAGAGAGGTTGCAACAGTGATGTGCATCTCCCAGCCATCTCCCTTGCCTGTGCCACTCTGCTTTTGATGCTGTGTTTGCTGTCTGCCAGCCCCTGCTGAAGGGGAAGTCTCAGATGTGTTGTATTATTGCAATTCCCCTCTGGCAAGATGTGTGCTAGCTTCTGCCAATGCAGCCCCTGGAGTGAATCTTGGCCTAGGTTTTTAAAAAAGAATTAGATTTTCTTCCAGGACTCAGAGTTCCCATCTGTACAATAGGGTGAATGGCACAGAAGTGCTAAAGAATAATATTCATTTAGATCCTCTATCCCCTTAATTATTGAGCTGAGTGTGAATTGTAAGCAAAGCTCTCTCTCTCTCTCTCTCTCTCTCTCTCTCTCTATAAAAAAAAAAATCAGGAGTGAAATTCTCACCACCTTTTGTGCCATGTAAAAGGGCTCTAAAGTCCCAGATCCAGTTGGAGGACAACTCCCTTGATGCAACTAATGTAATAAACCTTCACATCTCTTTAATAAAATTTCTAGTCATCTAGCTTTCAGTTGGAAAAAGTTTCCTACTTAATGAGTGTAGACATGCCTCACATTCCAGTCAAAAGCTCATAGTCTGTGTGGCGGGGGGAAATGTATATTTGGGTTTTCAGATCTCAGTCCTGCCAGTCAACTAACTGGTCCTGAGGACTTCTTGCTGGGGAAGCAAATGTTTTACATTGCTTGTGTCTCTGTTGAACATGAATATCCTTAGTAAAGGCATTGTTGCAGCTAAACATTCCCAGATGAGTTGTTGGGTCATCGGTGGGCCTGTGGCTTTGCTTGCCAACCCCCTGCATGAAATTGGAATCCAGCTGCTGTGGATGCTATTGGGGTCTTGAGTTATTCATCTGGTAGTCTACAGCCTACGTCACCGGATTCTATTCTATTTTGTTAAATCCCTGCAGATCTCCTCTGCGCTCAGTCCATTTACTCAGAGATTTGCCAATTTGTGCAGAAATTGCATGACGGCGGAAATTCCACAGATGACACATGCCTCACATGCTATCATATGACAGTCTTCAATTAATATGTAATAAAATACTCTTAGTTAATCTGATTAGCTGTTGCAGGGAATGGTTTTTGAGGGTGAAAGCTGATCATGCAGTCAACAAATTGGTCATGCAGTGGTCATCTGCCACCTATAGTGGTTAACATTCAGTTGTTCATGAGGCTGCTGAAATTTAAAACTAGAAGGTGTAAAGAGAGCAATACTGTGTCTGATGTAAAGTTACATTAATCAGAAACTGACTGCTGATGTACTAACGCTAATGGAAGCGGTTCCTAGCAAGACACAATTATTTTACTCCTTTTAGTTTTTCTAAGATGCAATGAGAAATACATCTAATAGCAGTGTTTTGCTTTTCTCCCCGCACCATCATACTGTACCTAGTTCAATTGGTCTGACATGTGAAATAAAAAGTAATGGATCCTCTGGGACATCCTCATCCTCTTCTAATGCAACTGATATTTCACCTGAAGGGGGTAGGGAAAGAATTTTCTTATAAACAGATATGGAATAAATCTATCTAGACAAAATTACAATGTGTAAACTGCAGTCAATTCACAGTGACCAATTCATTCGCGTACAAGCATAGAAATGTAGGCAGGAAGTAACTAATCATAATGGGATAGATGTGTTAGTGAATTTTTTAATATATTCATTTTACTGCATTAGAAACAAATTTTAAAATACATGTAAAGAAGAGAGATGATTTACCTCTTTTGGCTCATATGTGCCTTTTTGCTTCTGTTTGGGTGGGCTAGCCTATTTTTCAGAATATACATACTTCTACCCCAGGGGTGGGCAAACTTTGTGGCCCGAGGGCCACATCTGGGTATGGAAATTGTATGGCAGGCCATGAATGCTCATGAAATTTGGGGGTTGGGGTGCAGGAGGAGGTGAGGTCTCTGGCTGGGGGTGCGGGCCCTGGGCTGGTGTTGGGGGTGCAGGAGGGTGCTCTGGGCTGGGACTGAGGGGTTCGGAGGGCGGGAGGGGGATCAGGGCTAGGGCAGGGGGTTGGGGCATGGGAAACGGTCTGGTGTGCAGGCCCCAGGCGGCGCTTACCTCAAGCAGCTCCCAGAAGCAGCAGCATGTTCCCCCTCCGGTTCCTATGCAGACGCGTGGCCAGGCAGCTCTGCGCGCTGCCCAGTCCCCAGGTGTCACCCCTGTAGCTCCCATTGGATGTGGTTCCCGGCCAATGGAAGCTGCAGAGGGGGCAGCGTGCTGAGCCCGCTGGCTGCCCCTATGCGTGGGGGACGGAGGGGGGGGGGGCACAAGCCCTGGACTTCGCTCCCCAGCGGGAGCACCGGAGCGGGACAAGCCCTGGGCCGGATTAAAACATCTG